AACATCACATATTCCTTTCAGATCTTCGTTCCATCCATCTATCCAGTCATTTATTCATTTGTTCACTCCTTTATCTCTGCGAACATCCATCCTTCCGTACTTTCTCTCATTCATCTTTTTATTCATTTTCTATCAAGGTGTTGAATGTTACACATACAAAATAACATACAATTGATATAAATGCGTGAACCGCTCAGTTTTCCTACAAGCCTCAGGCCTATATTAACATAATTGTTGCTGCTATGAGACTGCTACTGCTGCTGCTACTACTACTACTACTACTACTACTACTACTACTTAGAGCTAACACATGTTTACGAAGACGCTGGACACCATGTTGTTCTGAACTGTATGCCAAAATTTGATGACAAAAATGGACGATACCATTTAGAGTGGAGAGGGTGGAACAGGTCGAGAAAGACGATGATGAAGCTTAACGATAGAAAGGTTGTATGTTTGTTGTTGTTGTTGTTGTTGTTGTTGTTGTGTGGTTTGGTTACGAAATTACCATGCTGCTTGAACGATTAATTGTTTGAATCGTCAAATTGGAAGCAAGCTAAAATAAATATTTATGTCCAGACAGTAAAACTTAATTTCAAATCCCGAATTGACCACTTAGAAAATGCGCTAAACTTTGAACATTGAAATAGCCACTAATACAAACGTATCAGCCACTATGTATGTATGTATGTACGTACATATATATATATTAAGTAGTACTAAAATCAATTATCGATTTCTCTCTCCTAAAAGTCTGGGCGATATATTCAAAATGGATTCGAAGGTGTTGCAACGCGAAATCGGTGATTGCGATACTTCAACGTTAACAGCCCTGATTGTTAATGATGTTGTAATTATTTTAATATTTTATTACAAATCAATCTAAAAATTATTTAAGAAATTCGTGAAGGGCAAGAAGTGGATGAGAATAAATGATCTAAGAAGGGGTAATGAAGGGGTGTATGAAGCCAGCTGGATACAAACGTACGACGACAACATCAACAACATCAACAACAACAACATCAACAACAACAACATCAGCAAAGGTTCTCGACCAATGGTTGTAGTTCAGAAATGCGATTTCGATCTATCAGTGTTCGGTAAATAAATTACGATTTATAGACAGAAATGAATATTATTTCAAGAAATAATGATCACAATTATTTTAATTAATATTATTAGCAAATAGTTATTTATAATTATCAATTAAATACGGATAAATAATTTTGAAACGAATATTTGAAGATCACTTCAAGCTGGATGTAGACATTGGCGATGATGTTCACTTGAAGTGCGTTAAAGATGACCAGCTCAGAAACAAAACCAGATGGTACAGAGATAATGAATTGATCGCGGGGAGTGCTGATGACGATCGCGTAAGTTTTGCTAACTATAATATGGCTACTAATTAGTTAATTAGGCTAGGATTTGATGCAATTGCAAGCATGCCTGCGAGTCGAGTGCTGATGGTTAGCAGAGATCTTTCTCTTGAGGTCCGCCTTCGTCGCCGGTTCCACTTCATTCTACTGGTCCCAGAGTGATTGATGTTCTTCTCGAGTTTTTCTTGCTGTCACAGAGTGGGGTGACGACCGTTTGAAAAAAAAATAACATGAGCAATTGTTCTCTATAACGCAATGGGACAACATTGTAACGATCATTCGTCAAGCAATGGACTTGTTAATTAAGATTTGAAGCAATTTATTCGAAGGAGTCAGGCTCTGACGTTGCTGTTTCGCCGAAAGCTCGTTGAAAGCTTAACCTAAAACTTATTGTCAATAATAATTTTTATAATAATTAATAATAATAATTAATAATAATAATTAATAATAATAATGACGATGATACAAAGGTGCATATGCGAGATGGTGATCTGCGAATAAAGTCCGTGCAAACATCTGACGTCGGAATGTACGTTTGTGTCACCACAACTGCTGCTACTACATCAGCAGCAGCAGCGTCGGCACCATCGTCGTCAAGTAACGAACAACAATTTAACAAAACGTACAAGTTGACTGTTCATGGTTAGTACGGTGATGAAGATGATGATGACGGTGTTGTTTAATGTGTGACAAATTTGTTATCTCGAAGTTTGAAATGAGAAAATTTTTATGAAGAACATGATTTACGTCCCCACCATCATCATCATCATCCTCATCATCAACATCATCAGCTTCAGAAACAGCAAAGCCATATCACATGCTTCGATACGCAATCAACTGTACGAGCAAAAATGGTGGTCATGAAAAGAATGATGATGACGACGGATATGATGGTGATGAAATCATTATAAACTGGTTCAAAGACGGCCAACCTATCAAAAGATCAGATAAATATGTTAGCAATTAAAACGAATAAAATGATGCCGATGACCTTGATGACCATTTCATAAAATTTTTATATAATGATTAATTATTATATTAATTAATTAATTAATTAAAACTATTATTGTCAACTTTCCTCAACAGATAAAATTCTCAAAGGGCAGTTTGATAATTGAGAGGTTCATGCCGAGACACGCGGGCCAGTACAGGTGCCAAGTTCAACGAGGTCAAGGTCATCAAGGTCATTTGTCTTACAGCAGGAAATACAACCTCGTCTTTGATGGTCGGTTGCGATGAAGATGTGGACCCTCGTTGTTGTTGTTGTTGTTGTTGTTGTTGTTGTTGTTGTTGTTGTTGTTGTTGTTGTTGATATAATTATTTTTCATTCATTGTATGCAATTCAGATCATTTTGAGGTGTTTGGGCACCACGGCAGCGAGCTCAGTCTGTTCTGCCCCATGGAATCAGACGGGGGGGATGAGGACGGGGGTGATTTCGTAGTTAGCGTTTGGTACAAGAACAAACAGCCGTTGGATCTATCTGATCACATGGTTCGTGATGACGATGACGATGGCACTGATGATGTTAAAATGTGACTGTGGTTTGTTCGTTACATCTTTCATCATATCATTTAAAAGAAACATCCCCACTCAACCAACCAATCAGAAATACAGATGGGCAGAGAACAACCTTGACATTCACTCGCTGACCAATCAGGACGAAGGAAGGTACGAATGTGCACACTACACCGACGGGGAGCTGTTCAATGTAACTTACCACCTACACGTTTCATGTAGGTCCTCAAATTCCTGCATACAATTCATCCATTCATCTTTTGTTATAAATATCAGCACACATTCTTGTACACGTAGCCATGTAGACGATGTTTAACGCCCATCTCTAAATTGCACCACACTCACTTCTTCTCCCAGCCATCCAATCATCATTCCCAATTTTTGGAAACGATCGTGACGTCAGCCAGGTGAACGCCCTTGAAGACGATGACGTCACACTCCAATGCAAACACCATTCGTCGGCAAGCTTCTATCCAACTTTGAATTTCTACAGGATCCATCGGACAAATGATGTTGAAGTTGTGCAAAGAAATGACGATGATGATGACGATAGCGATGATGATGATGATGGTGGTGGTGATGGTGGTGGTGGTAGCGATAATGATGACGACGATGACCGTGAAGGCAAGCACAAAACCAAAAATTCAAAAAGTTTGATGGCGAAGTTGAGAGCTGTTAGCGAAGATGGCACCGTGCCGTGTAGTGACAACAACAACTTCAACAACAACAACAACAACAACAACATTAATAATCTCGACGACAGTATTGAAAACAAAACGTGCAACAATACAAGGAAATCGTTGAAGAACTATTTCAAAGTGGCCAAAGATAGTCATTGCAATGTCGCTATTGCTAAGGAAAACATCAACATAAACTACAAAGACATCAACAACAACAACAACATCAACAACAACAACAACGTAATCAGCAACAACAACAAAACTCTTCTTCAAAAGGTTGCCAGATCATTTTAACTTTACGAATGCATGTGTGCGCGCGTTTTAAAACAATGTTTCGATAACCAAACTTTAAATTTGATAAACATAAAAGTAGTAATGAATATTGTTACTAGTTGAAGATGAACGAGACGAGCGAGGTGATGGTGTTGAAGTCCGTTTCGAAGTTGGATGCCGGCACGTACTACTGCTGCGTTCACAACATCTTCGGCAGTGCTTATAAAGTCTTCCATGTTAATGTTTCTTCAAGTTTGTTGGTTGGCCGGTTGGTTGGTTGGTTGTCTGTCAGGTTTGTTAGTTGGCTGGTTGACTGGTTGGTTGAATTATTTGGTGGTTTGTTTGTCATTTCAAATGTTTGACAATTAAATTTTAATAATATTTTAAATTTTGCCCGTAAGGGAATGCCAACAAGAACAACAACAGCAGCAACAATGTAGACGACCTACTGACAATGCAGCAGCAGCAACAACAACAACAACAGCCAACCGCAGGTTATCTCTACACGACAATCATCATCATCTCCGTGATCGTCATCATCGTCATCTTAGTCATCTTTTACTGCTACTCGCCATACACCATAACGAACAAAATGTCCGTTATGAGAAAACTTGTTGACAACATCAACTACAACAACAACAACAATATCAACAACATCAACAACAACAACAACAAACCACCACAAAACTTGCTCAGTCATGTTGTCTCCATGAAGAGGAATCATATTTACGAGAGCTCCAAAGGTTGGTTTCGTTGAGGCTGTTGTTTTTGTTGATGTTGTTTTTGTTGATGTTGTTTTTGTTGATGTTGTTTTTGTTCATGATGTTGTTTTTGTTGATGCTGTTGTTTTTGTTGATGTTGTTGTTGATAATTGAAATTGTGCAACAAATAATAAGTACTGAACCACCAACCAATCACGTCAGAGCTGGATAGGGCCTTACTGCTTAGTAACGCCCAATCAGGTCATGATTTCTGGGAGATAAGGAGGGAGAAGTGAGGGAAATTATTTTTGCAATATTTATTATTTTGTTTCGTTTCGTCAAGTTTTAATATTACGAAATTATTTTATAATATTAAAATTATTATAACGATTATTTAAAATAATTTAAAACGCTAATGATTAATTTATTTTCCAATAATTTTTTGATATTTCGTTCTAGTTTGATGTTAGGTGAGGTAATCGGAGAAGGTGCTTTTGGGGTTGTGTTAAAAGGTCAGCTGGTGAATGATCAATATCTTACTAATTTGGACAACAAATCAACCAATCAATCGATAAACGTGGCCATCAAAACATTGAAAGGTGCATTTGAAACCCTCTTAGATTGAACGTTCTACATTGAACTAATTTAAACTGAACATAATACGCATCATCATTTTCTTCATCATATTCAGACGGGTCTTCAGAAAAAGATTTACTAGATTTGGTCCAGGAACTGAAGGTCTTGAAGATGATTGGTCGGCACGAAAACATCATCAATTTCATTGGCTGCTGCACTGAAAGAAGTAAGCGCATTTTTGGCGATTTCTAATTATAGAGCGTTTTGATTGGCTGCTCGATAATACAAGTTTGAAAACAATGATGACCCCGGGGTTAGGTCCACTGCTGGTGGTGGTCGAGTACGCGCCGCATGGCAACTTGAAAGATTTCTTGAGGAAGAGGAGGAAGAAGTTTTCAAAGAAACCACTTCAACCACGTGACTTACGCCATCAACAACTTCAACCACGTGATTTACATCATCAGCTACTAATAAAAAAACATCAACCACACCAGCAACAAACAATCACGACCAACAACAACAACCGCAACAAAAACGAGGCAAAGAAGAAAAAGTTTAAAGAGCAGTTGGATGTATTTAAAAGTAACTTCAACGCTAATAGTCGCGAGAACGACGATGCTGATGATGATAATGCAGATGATGATGATGATGGTGGTAATGATGGTGATGATGATGGTGAAAGTGAGAGAGAGAAATGCAATGTTAACAAGATTGGCCTCAGCATCAATAACGATTTTTATTGCATTCCAAATGCAAATGCGAATAACGACGATGAAGATGATGATGTTTTTGTAAAATTGAAACTACCTGACAATGATGGCGAAGAAGATGAAAATGATGAGGATGATGATGAGGGTGAAGACGGGGGGGATGATGGGGATGACCGCGAGTTGACGTATGGGGACCTGCTAACATTCGCTGAACAGATTGCAGAGGGAATGCAGTACTTGGCTTCAAAAATGGTGAGTGAATGAATGAATGAGTGAATGAATGAATGAATGAATGAATGAATGAATGAATGAATGAATGAATGAATGAATGAATGAAAAATGTAGGTAGTTTTTATGGTCGTATTAATAAGATTCTTAAATAAACAAATCTGATAACACGATGGAAAAACGTTTCAAACATGTAGAGGAAAAATTATAGAAAAAATGTTTGTGCGTGTGCGTGTGTGTGTGTGAGCGTGTGTATGTGTATGTCTACGCTTATTTGGTTTTTTATCATGTAATGGGTTTCATTTTGTTACATTGCATGCATGTTTGTTTGTTATCGATCAATGTGTTTATTTCAATTTTAATTATTCGTTTGTTACATTCTTGTTCTTGGGTTTGTTTATTCATTTTTTCTTCCGTTCATACGGTAGTTCTTTTATTCATTCGTTAGTTTTTTCATTCATTCATTCATTCATTTGTTCGTTCGTTCGTTCATTCGTTCCTTTCTTACTTAACCTCGAAACTTATCAGCAAAGCAATCGTCCAATGTTAAGATAGGCATAACATCCAATCCAATTCATCATCACCACCACCACCACCACCACCAGACATGAACGCATAAATATATAGAGGTACCCACTTCTATAGAACAACACACTTACCTTTTTCCTTCTCGCTTTACAATTTTATCAGAAAAATTTATAAGATACTTTTTATCGTCATCATCACACCACCATCATCGTCATCACCATCATCATCATTACCATCAATCATCATCTCAGCCTTCTTCGACATAACCTAAACTCTCAATGAATTTGTTATTTAAAATTTTATTAAAAATATACATACATACATATATGATACATAACAACATAGGCATACAATTGTATCTTACATACATGAAATGATTTATAACAGATATATATCATGATATATTCCTACTCGTCAACACGTAAATGTTGGATACGTGATTTCATTCTGTGATTCTATGCTAAATCATTAAAGAAAACATCGCTATCTGCATTATTTATTAATTTATTATTATAATTATTATTGTTGTTGTTGTTGTGAAGTTGTTGTTGTTGTGAAGTTGTTGTTGTGGTTGTTGTTGTTGTTGTTGTTGTGAAAATATATAACATTTCAATGTTTTTCTTAGATGCAAGAAGGATGATTTCTAATTATATAACTGAGCCGAGCAGCATTAATATCTTATCAAATTCATATCTCACTTTTGATTTATGCATTCCTTCGTTTGCTTCTTCGTTCGTTCCTCTCTTCTCTTCATTCCATTGTTTATTAGTTTATTCGTTCGTTCGTTCGTTCGTTAGTTCGTTCGTCCATTTAGTTATTGTTCGCATGTTACTTCAGTATATATGAGCTGACAGCATGTACATGTGTGCACATTCTTTGCCAATCATTTGCTTGCATATTTTTTTGCTTACTCTCATACACGCACACTAACATACAAACAAACATACAAACATACAAACAAACAAACATACAAACAAACAAACAAACAAACAAACATACAAACAAACAAACAAACAACACATACAGTGCATACATAGAGACCTAGCAGCGCGCAACATTCTGGTCGGGCACGGCATCACCATGAAGATTTGTGACTTTGGACTTTCAAGAAACATTCACAACAATGATTATTATAAGAAATTTTCAGATGTGAGTGATGCTGTTTTTGATGATAATGATGATAATGATTTCCTGTTTACTCTCCCCATCTTTCGCCGTACAGGGCAGACTGCCCATCAAGTGGATGTCCCCAGAGGCCCTCTTCGACCGGAAGTACACCCCAAAAAGTGACGTGTGAGTTGAACTTTTGTCATTTTAAACTTTCTTTATTTCGAACTTTCGTCAACATGCTTTGTTTCGTCAGGTTTTATAGTTGAGTAGTTTAATCCGATTCGATCATGTAGCGCAGAGTTTAAAATGTCTAAGTTTGAACGCGAAGTGATCCCAGCCCACCGCATGCATGCACTGTCTCATGCATTGCATCTAAGTGCATGAATGCACTGAGTGTGATTTAGAGGTGAGCGGGAATTGAAATTTCTTCCCAATTCCCTCCCATTATTTTCTCATTCCCGATCCCCTCCAGCATTCCCATATATGACAACGTTTCCGAAAATTTCCATTCCCAATTTTCAACTCATTCCCGCGTTTCCCCTCTCATTTCATCTCGATATTCCCATTTTTCACATTTTCAAAATTTTTAAACACAAACAAATTTTAAAAAAATGCAAATTTACTAAGTTTTAAAGAATGAATTCAATATTTAATGAGGCAGGTGGTCGTATGGGGTGCTGCTCTGGGAGATTTTCAGCCTGGGTGGCACGCCCTACCCAGGAGTGTCTATCGAAAAAATTTTTTACCTCGTCAAACAGGGCTACAGAATGGAAAGGCCTGTGCACGCTAGCATGGATATGTAAGTTCTCCTGGGATTGGTTGATGGATGTGGCGCAAGATGTGGTGGGATTGGTTGATGGATGTGGCGCAAGATGTGGTGGGATTGGTTGATGGATGTGGCGCAAGATGTGGTGGGATTGGTTGATGGATGTGGCGCAAGTTGTGGTGGGATTGGTTGATGGATGTGGCGCAAGTTGTGGTGGGATTGGTTGATGGATGTGGCGCAAGTTGTGGTGGGATTGGTTGATGGATGTGGCGCAAGTTTCTTCGATCGGTCACCGGCAGTAAACATGAATGTTTGATTAAAATTTAACATTCATGAATATAAACTGAAGACCGGCTGGTTGTAAAATATGCGAGATTCCGTTCAATTGTGAGATGATTGGACGATGGTACGATGCAGGTACGGTGTGATGTTGGATTGCTGGATGGATGACCCCACGCTGAGACCTTCCTTCAAAGATATCATCAACCAGATTCGCAAGAACAAAATTCAAAAACAAGAAAACAATAAGGTGACGGTGATGGTTATGATGTTGAGGACAATGTCGTTGTTGTTTTTGTTGATGTCGATGATGACGATGATGATGATGGTGACGACGATGACGATGATGATGATCTGGCAGACCTACCTGGGCCTAACCCCGCTGTGGAAGACGTCAGCATCATCAGACTCCCAGTATATTTCCATGGCAACGACGACAACCAACACCTCAACTAACCAATCACCTGTCAGCATCAAAACGTTCGGCCAATCGGAAGAGTCCGTATTGCAAAATTAATGCAAATTCATGTTCATTTATTCAAATTAATTGGTTTCAATTTACAACCCAAACAAGTGCAATTCATTAAAAAAACACAAACGAACGAAACAACTCATCGCATACGCCACAGCAAGTGCTTCTTAAAACTTGAATATTTTATTATACATCGAGTGTACAGGCACGCACAAACACAAACATACACACAAATACATGCATTTATATATTATTTACATTTAAACATGATTTCTGTTGAATTATTTTGCCTATAAACGATATTACAATTGTGAGCATTATTGAATGGCAGAGAATATTCTTTTGAGCAGTTTGTAACTCGTTCGGTCCGTTGGAGAGGTTCCTCTCTCCTTCTTCGTTTCCATTCGCCTTTGATCTTAACAAGTACATTTATTTTCCCTTACTCTCTCTCTCTCTCCCTATCTCTAAATTATTACGGATGCTTTTTTGATGTTTCTATCAAGTATTTCACTTATCTAACTTCATCGTACATTCAATTATTTTTTCACCAACAGAACGATGTGTTGCACTGAGAATTAACGATAAAAATGTAAAAAAATTGCATTTATTTATCTATCCGTCTGTCTGTCCGTTATCATTCACTCACTCATTCGTTCGTTCACTCATTCATTCGTTCACTCATTCATTCGTTCATTCACTCATTCTTTCGTTCACTCATTCATTCGTCTGTCTTACAATCCGTTAGTTACCCTGACAAACAGGCAAGTGATGTGCCAACCGATGAAGTCATTTAAGTTCAAACAAAAAATAACGTACACGGTCGTCTGAATACTTTTAATTGTAAAACAATTAACTATTCAGGCATACATAGCAACAGACAGACACAAACACACACACACACATACATACATACATACATACATACATACATACATATATAGATAGATAGATAGATACAATTGATAGCTTAGGATCTATGTATATGTCAAAATGTAAGAATAAAAAAATAACGCCATTAATGAATTCACTGGAAAATATATGCCGCGAAGACATGTTTGCTACATTTTAACATGAGCGGACAAAAATATATCCTAAGTATCAGTAACATTGAACCAGGTCTATCTATTTAATTAATTAATTAATTGATGGTAGGTATCGGTAACATTGAACAAGGTCTATTTAACTAATTAATATATGATGAAATGTGCATCACCCTAACCCTCGTTTCATTCCTACGACCTGCTCTTTCTGGTTTGGTGTTCAACATGGAGGGTGAAGGCCAACTCTTGGCTACCGGAGAGTTTCAACTCAGTAGGCCATCCAAGCAGGACTAAGATGGAGGAAGGATCACCAAACCAGCCAGAAAGAGCAGAGCGCAGGAGTGAAAGGAAAGAGAGACAAGAATATGGGGAGGGTTAGGGATGGGCTGACCCTATCCCTACCCCTGCCTCTTTCTTCTAGCTCTATCACTAATTCATTCATTCATTTCAAATTAAAAATTGTCCAACAGTGAAAAGTGATGTCGCGGCGAGTATGAAAAAAAGTTGTGGAAGGAAATTAGCCACAGATATGAAAGGACAAAATGAGCTGGAAGTGGAAAGCGCCGAATTGTACAGTGCTTCATAATGTTCATCTTCTTCTTTGAAAATATTTTTATGATGGTAGGTGACGTTGTAGATGGTGTCGATTAGGCTTGAATCTCTGCCCGTTTCATAAAATTTTAATTTGTGTTTGTACGTTGAAGCTGACTTGTGATTGGTTGAACTATTGGGTCCTTTGTTTTTATTTGTTGATTTCTTGTTCGGGGCTCCGTCTAATTGGTTAACAGCTTGGAAGTTTGCATGCGGACTGCAAGCGGATGGGCTAACCACTACTGATCGTTTAATTTTAAATTATATTATACTACAAAAATGGTCTGAATTATAAAGCAACCAATCATAAAAGTTGTAATAATAGGAAAAGATTGTAAACAATTCAAAATATAAAAAACTAGCCATTGAAGAGTTTCATATGGATGACGTCATTTCTATGTTTCGTTGTGTGAACGGCCCTCAGGGTTCTACAGTTAACAAGTTGCATATCAACACTGATGATGTTGTTGCTGATGTTGTTATTGTTGATGTTGTTGTTTTTGATGATGTGAATGTTCAGCCCTTCATCTTCAAACCTCTTGTAACCAATCAGCTAACAAATTTGTCCGTATTTTTTATAAATCTATTAATATAATTTTATGAATGTCCATACGATGTTTAACCAAACTTAACCTTGCAAAATGTAACAAAAATTAATCGTTTGAATGGCAAACATTAACCCAGCAACTCTTGCGACCCTTCAATACATCAACAACATTCACGTTAACATTTGCTTCATCATCAACGCCATTGTTGTTGTTGTTGATGTTGTTGTTGTTGATGTTGTTGTTGATGTTGTTGATGTTGTTGTTGTTGTTGTTCATGGTGCGTGCTGTGACAAGCAATTGCTGATTCGAGGATGTTTCGAAAGAATGCAAACAATGGTGTTCTATTTGGATGGAGGGATGAATGGATGATGAATGAATGATTTAATGAATGAATGAATGAGTGAGTGAGAAACTAAATGAATGTACGGAAAGATGTATGGATCTTAACGAACAATCGCGAAAAAAAGGAAAACACAACTTAAAACAACTCGAAGACATTTGACCTTCAACTCGTTCCTGCCCTCCGCAACCTTCATCAATATGCAAGGTCATTCTTGAACTCTGACGGCAGGTCATCACATCGAGGTCACTGACCTGACCCACACACACGTAGCCCGCTGATGACGTCACTTCCATCTCAGCCCTCATGTTCAAATTGCATGCGCCTCTCGTTACGTCATCAACAGCTGACGGGTGGATGGATGGATGGATGGATGGATGGATGGATGGATGGATGGATGGATGGATGGTTAGATAGATGGATGGATGGATGGATGGATGGATGGATGAATGGATGGGTGGATGGATGGATGGATGGATGGATGGATGAATGGATGAATGGATGGGTGGATGGATGGATGGATGGATGGATGGATGGATGGATGGATGGATGGATGGATGGATGGATAAATGGATGGATGGATGGATGGTTAGATAGATGGATGGGTTGATGGATAAATAGATGGATGAACGCTTAATATTATACAAAAGTTCCTGCAGAAAATTTTAAAATATAGAGGCCAAAAGGTGGGGGAACTAACGAATCAAATGGATTGGTTGGCGCAGTGCGTACGTCAGCATGTTGTCGTCATCATCCTCTTCTTCGTCATCATCACTAAGATCATCTTCTTCGCCATCTTCATCTCCCATCATCTGCTTCCCGTTCGACATCTTGTAGGAATCAAATGATAAGTCCCATTCACTTCCCATACCTGAGTTGAAGACAATGATGATGAAGAAAATTATTTCATTAATAATAATAATACGGTTAAAATAATGATAATAATTGTGATGATGATGACGACGACGATGATGAGTAAGCAGACTGACTGATTGTGAAGAGGATCGTCTCCAAGCGACCAGATGGTTGGATGGTCAGAACGTTGTACTTGGGCCGACTGAACGATTGAATGTGGCATTTTCTTCATTCATCATCCATTCAGTGTGAACATCATCAAATTTTATTTAATTATCACCACTTAATCCAACAACCAACCAACCAACCAATCAACCAACCAACCATCCATTCAACCAACCAACCAACCATCCATTTTCAAACATCTTAAACACTTTATAGTCGCCATTGTTTGGATGTCGATTCTTGCAAAGAAATTTCCCATAACCGGAAACAGTGATGTCACCATTTTTTATAATGACGTCATCAACCCGAGATGAGCCAAAGGAATGGTAAGATCCGATAATATCGCTTGAGAATGTGCATTCACTTTTAATTTCTTTGTTTGGATCTGTATGGACCAATGAATAAAACGAAATAACAGAGTTTGACGAACTGCAAATATTCTTCGCACATCACACACTCCGCATGTATTCTTATGCCACACAACACACCACCAACACACCACCAACACACCACCAACACACCACAAGACGTGCAAGACTTCGGACAGTGCTTCTTTGCAATGTTCACATCCTTCGAACAGTTTCCATCCAGTAGGAAAGTTGGACATGCATCCAGGCTGACGTCATAGCAGACGGAGGAATCTAAATGATGATAATATTCATTCACCATCCACCCATCCATCCATCCATCCATCCATCCATCCATCTATGCAGCTAACCACTGCGAGTAGCGTGCAACAGGAAGTAAGGACCAGCTAACGAAATGACGTCATCATCAGCAGCAGCAGCATCGTCGTCATCGTCGTTGTTGTAACGATTGACGTTGTGATAGCTTTCATTGCCATCCTCACCTTTATAAGAACCATCTGCGGAGCTGGCCAGCTCCATGTCCTTCGATGGCGCGCTGAGTTCAACGTTGTTGTTGTTGCTGTTGTTGTTGTTGTTGTTGCTGCTGCTGCTTGTGCTGGTCGGCTGGTTGAATGCCTCATTTTTTAGAGAATGACTTTGATTATGAAGATGTTGATGATGATGAGGAGGAGGAGGAAGAAGAAGAAGCTTTTTGTAAGGAGCAAATCCGTTAATGAACAATTCAGCTTTAAATGTTTTCAAGTCATCGTAGTTGCTAGGTAACCTCTATAAATATGATGGGGAGGAGGGTGAGTGAGTAAGATGATGATGACGACGACGATGATGATAACAAACCACCTACCAAAACATAATGAGGCGGATCTTGATAATGACGACGATGGGGTTGGTCAGTGATGAGGAAAAACTTGCTCCCACCCTCAGTCCAACTTGCGTAACATTTCACGAGGGTTCCTAGCAAGTTGCAAGGCCACAATCAATTTTAAATTAAAATAAATGAGAAATGAGCCAGTTAGACTACTTAACTGCAAAAATGTAATAAATTTGCATTAAACATCGGCCTGAATGATCGTTCATGTGTCTCCATCGAGGAAACATTCGATCTCTGGTTCGAATTCAGATGTCTCGATAGCTATGGCCGGCCGCAAAAATGAATTTCTCACTATTAATAATGATCAGCAGTTTATTGCTTTGACCTTCAAAAAAGGACAGCTTGAACGGCAATTGTAACATTTGGCTGCTCTGCTTTTAATGAATGGCCAAAGTCGAACTTCAAAATGCGACAACCGAATATTGTTCATTGCATCTCTACTGCACAATGCAATTGCACACACACACACACATACTCACTCACACAGACACTCACTCATTCACACACACACGCACATATATATATATAAATAAATATGTGTGGTTATTGCTTTTGTTTATTGCAAAAATTAAATTGAATGTCTTATCAGGCTGGTTGATCGTTGTTATTTCTCTTAATACTAACTCAACAACCATTACTACTACTACTACTACCACTAGTGCTGCTGCTGTTACTGCTTCTACTGCTACTTTTACTACTACAACTTCTACCTGCTCAATTATTGTTAATAATTCTTTTAATATAAAGCACCAATAATACCACAATTGTTTTCACTAATCCAACAATACGATTTGCTGCTGAAGACGACGACGATGATGATGGCGATGATGATGACTATGATGACTGGATTGCCGCAATAACATGGTTGGTTGAATGAGTGAGATATTGAATGATATTAAGGAGCTTATTGATAAGGTTGGTGCGGGCCTTTAATACGTGACGTTTAATGTATGGTACCGAAGCTTATAAGCGCTACAAATATGCAAATATTATGAAAAATTATGAATGATGTAATAGAAGCGAATAACAATAATTAATATGCCAGGAGCGAGAGATTGAATGGCAAGTGCCATAAATATTTCTTCATGCTTCCGGCATCAAGCGATTAACGCCATGGTTGGTCGCGAGTCTCGGTGGCCGTGACGACGACGATGATGATGACGATGATGATGACGATGATGGGAAGATGACGGAAAAGATGGCGATAATGTTGGCGGATACAATCTTAATGAAGGAGGAGCAATGATGACGACGACGAGGAAATGACGGTCATGGTTGAACGACCACGAAACTTTAATTTTTAAAACGAAAAGATGGCAATGATGCTGATGTTAATGATCATAGTGATGATAGTAATGATGATGACAACAGTGATGATAATCTGAATCAAAAAACCTCGAAACTAACTAATTTGAGGTCTGGTAAATAGGCTGCACGCTGATTGGCTGAAATAAAAGTTCAAGCCCTCACCCTCCAAACAGTTGCTCTCCACCCTCTGTGGCAGCCAATCATCTCTGCAAGTGCTTCGTAGTGTGGCTGTGTTGGTGGTGCCCTCCTGATGACGATGATGATGGTGGTGGTGGTGGTGGTGATGGTGGTGATGATGATATGATGATATTTTTGTTATCAATATTAATAGAATCTTTTTAAAATCGCAAAAATTCCGACTCTTGCTGGGCTGTTGATGATGGCGACCTTGAAATCGAAACCCCCGTGCAAAGAACATGGTGTGGAGCGGCTTTGCTCATTGGCTGGTCGGAGTGAAAAATGAATGAATGAATAAATGAATGAATAAATGAATGAATAAATGAATGAATAAATAAAAAAATGAATAAAAGAATGAACAAATGATTTACTGAATGAACAACAAACAAAAAAGAAATAAAACGTAAGCAGTAAATGAAGAAGCGAGCTTAAATATTAAGGAACCAACTAACGAATGGATGACCATTCGATCAGACGGCGAACTCAATATCGATAAAATTGTGTGTGCATGTGTGTATGTGTGCGTGTGTGTGTATATGTGTATGTATGTGTGTGTGATCTGAGTTAGCATGTAAGTATATTATAATAATGCGGTTGCGGGCGGTTGCGCTTTCAATTATGGCGGTTGATTAATAGAGTATTCTATAATTTGATTCGTCTTTTTGAATTTTTTACTGAGACTCTTCGAAAACGAAATACGAGAGTAAAATTGAGAAAATTAAGTGTTTCCGTTGCAATATGACCTGCTTGGATGTTTGGGATGACAGAGGATGTGCGACTGATAGGCTGGTTTAATTTCATTTTAGTAAGTAAAAACTGAAGCAAGCCTGCCGACCATCTATTCGCCATTTCAATACATCAACTACATTTATATCTTTAATATCTTTTCATCTTTCCGCTTTCATTTTAACATCCGGCAGAATCCCAGCTGACTTCCGCTTTTAAACATTTTTTATCTTGGTAGCGCTTCTTAACGAATAATTGTCGCTATGTTTCAATTGAAAGGATGAGTTCGAGGCATAAAATGTTATGTGAGAGGGGGAGGGTGAAAAGAGAGAGAGAGAGAGAGAGAGAGAGAGAGATGTGAAGAATTGAGGTCGGGAAAGAGAAAGATGGGGTAAATTTTGTTGATATGTGTGAACACGTCTTCTTATCGAATGCAACTCTACGCTGAAGGAACGATCGTTTAAACATGCAGGCAAGCAACAAACGATCGTCACGTGTTTGAGGAAAGATCGGCTTGCATCATATGTCCGTCTGTGTTTGATCATTTGTCTGTTTGTCTGTTAGTCCGTTTGTATGGGTGTGTGTGTGTGTGCATGTGTGTGTGCATGTGTGTATGTGTGTGTCTTAATACGTACTTTTATTTACATACGTTCGGGTATTTATGCTAGCCTTTAGATACACATAAGTTCGTATGCACACCAACACACCTACTGAACTAAGTCATAAATGCGTGCATCCCATCCAGCACAAACGAATACAAACCAATCCATAGGAACGGCAGATCTTTCATATTTTCATCATAGCACAAGCTTTCCTTGTTCACAGTGTCTAATGGTCCTGTGAGTTGTGATGATGACGATGGTGATGATGAAGATGGTGATGATGACGATGGTGACGATGGTGATGATGACGATGGTGACGATGGTGATGATGACGATGTAGTGACGTGAAACATTAACGAGTGTGTCATCAATCTTATATTATGGTTAACTTGTTATTTACAATATCGTAAAATTAATTTCATAGTGAAAAAAACACGTGACCTTGCACAACCCTGATGACGTCACGAGTGATTTTTTTGAACTTCAGGCAGCTGAACTTTGAACTTTGTGGTTGAATAAAAAAAATTTCAATTGGAAATTTGTCAATTGTTAATTTGTTTATTTCATTCGTCAAAGTTCTCATCCTTTCAACCATTTCTTCCCGCCTTCATTCATCCATACCTTCCTTCTTTTTTTCGTTTCTTTTTTTATTAATGAATGAATGAATTAATTCATTCAAAAAGTGACAAGACAATAACCCAATTTGAACTCTGAACTTTTGTTGAACTTCTTGAGAGAGGCATGTGAACTGTTCACTCAACCGTTTCTCCGTGCATGGACGTTTGTTGTTGTTGATGTTGTTGTTGTTGATGTTGTTGTTGTTGATGTTGTTGGTGTTGTTGTTGTTGCTGTTGTTGTTGATGTCAATATTTTCATGTTGCTTCATACTTACTTCGCTTCGTAACGAGGACTTTTTATGAATTATTTTCGTAAAACTTTTTAGCATTTGTTGTTGATTTCGTTTATAGTGTTGTTTTTGTCGTTGTTGTTGATGTTGTTGATGTTGTTGGTGTTGCTGAATGTAGTGCCCTTGTAGATTGAGATTAGAATAAGCAGCAGCAAGGCATGGGTTTGAAGTGTGGAGAGTCATGATTATGGAGGAACGTTTGACCACCGCTGTCCACTTTTGCATGTTCACATCAGAGTAGACATCGTACACAGGTTTTGTGGACCATGTGCGTTGATGTTGTTGTTGATGTTGTCGTTGGTGTTGTTGGTGGTGAAGGTGATGTTGTAATTGGTTTTTATCAGTCTCCAACGAAGATTTCCAAAGGTAGGTCGGAAAGCTGCAATATCCATGCTGCTGCTGCTGCAGCTGTTGTTGTTTAGTGCGATTTTTCTGAAGTTGCTGCTGATGTTGTTGTTGTTGAGTTTGATGTTGCAGAACAAACAGATGTTGCTGATGCTCCGGTTGAACTTGAAATAAAATTGTGATTAATAAAATGAGAAAATGTTTAAAGTCACTATCATCTTCTTCATTGTTTCATTATCATCATCACCTTCATCGTCATCAGCATCGTCTTAGCTCTTGTAAACTGGAAGGCATGCAAGCAAACAAACATTTAAGAATGCCGTGACGTCACACTTGAAACTTCATCGCCCCGCTCATTTTACGTCATCGTCATGTTACGTCATCATCATCATCAACGTCAACGTCATCGTCATCATCAACGTCATTAATGTCGTCCTCACCGCCACCACCACCGCCACCGGCGTCATCATCGCCAGCCTCATCATTGCGGCTGACTTAAAAGAAACGTTTTGTTGGAAGTATTTGTTAAACGGTGCCCTTAAATATTTTCCTAGCGATTCATTCATTCCATCCATCTGTTCTTATTATTATTATTTGTAGTAGTAGTAGTAGCAGTAGTAGCATTATTATTATTATTATTATTATTATTATTATTATCATTTTTATTACTATTCTTTCGGCCACTTCTTGATTGCTTCATTAGAGTTAAAGTCATGAGAATTGAGTTAGTGCTGATTGGTGTGCGACTACTACAACCACCACTACCACTACTACCACCACCACTTATAATACTGCTGCTGCCGCTACTACTACTACTACTACTAACACTGCTACAACAACAACTACTACTACTACTACTACTACTAACTATAATATTATTATATATACCGCTTGTATTTTTGTTAATACAATTACAAAGGAGGAAGTTTTCACTTCAATAGAAAAAAATTATAAATATAATTATAATTATAATTATTATTGTTATTATTATTATTCGTCTTCTTTTTATTAATGTTATGGCGACTGTTCCCTTAAGAGCAAAGACCAGAGGCATGTAAGGAATTGGATTATGTTAAATGTTTCATCGCATTATCGTTCATGTTGTTGTTGTTTCGTTGTTGATGTTGTTGATGTCGTTGTATAATTTTTAAATTTAAATTAAAGAAAGCGTATGCACATTGAAAACAACAATGCCACCACCACCAACAACATCAACATCAACAACAACAACAACATCAACAACATCAACAACAACTAACCCTTAAACGTGGTCACAGTCAAAAAAGTATATGCCATCATCGCCAACAACATCTTTGTCGTCATCATCATCGATGTTGTTGTTATTTATATTAACATTAATTTTGTGGTTGTTGTGGTTGTTGTGGTTGTGGTTGCTGCTGCTTTTTCAGTTGTTGAAATGTTGTTAAAGCAACGCCGCTGAATATTCCGATCTGTTTCATGAATTCGTCGAGTAATTATCAGCTTCGACAAATATTTCAATCAATCAATCAGTCAATCAGTCCACACAATTTATAAAGATCAAACCGTCTCAAAGAAACACTCATAAAAAATGAATATTAATCAGCCAAAACAACTTGGCGATTAACTTCTAAATCTCAAAACATTACATAATTTTCACCAGCCATTCATTCGGCAGGTAGATTTAAATTAAAATTGAATCATAATTTATAAAGATTCGCGGTGACAGAGTTCAAATGCAGATGAGGCGGACATCAGCCCCAACCAGCACAGACTCATCAGTCGACTCCTTCATGTCCACGCAGCATAAGCTTCTGTGTTGCTGTTAAAACTTCTTAATATTATAAAAAATAAAATAGGCTTTAACCTTTGACCAGCCACTTAGAAAGCAGATAACATAAATTGAACATCTAACCAGCCAATTAGAAAGCAAGTAACATAATTGAACATCCGACCTGCCAATCGCATGTTCGTATCAATAAAAGTTTGTCTCTCAGGTTTATTTATATTGCTTAAAAGCGAGAGATCATGAGGATAAGAAGGAAGAGGCACCATATGAACATATAAATACATATACATTTAAATATATACGATTATATATGTATATATATATATATGTTTATATACATAACAACATATACATTTGTGTGTCCATATATATACATACATGTGTGTACAGTATATATTTAGCACACAAATATAAAGTACAAAAAGTATAGAACTTGAGAGAGAGAGTGAGAGAGAGAAAGAGAGAGAGAGAGAGAGAGAGATGTATTAAAAAATTAAATAAAATGACATTGTTGATAAATGTAAATGAAATCTGGCAGTCATCGTTTGTGTTGGTCTAGATCTAGTTTTCTAAATTATCAACAACACTGTTTATCGGCTGTTTTGTTGTAAATACGATATAATATTGTATTGATAATTGTGAGAGGAAGTTGATGACGATGAACCTGATGATGAACATGATGATGATGGGGATGACGAAATGAGGAAGAATTCGAAAAAGTGGCCTTCAAATGAAGCACGTATTATCGTCCTCTCAACTCTGCCTCCCCTTTCATGTTCCTCACGTGATAAAGATGACGAAAAGAAAATTAATGACGACGACGACGCTGGTGGTTATGATGATGATTCTTTTAGTTTATATACACACACATGCAAGCAAAGGCAAAACAACACACTCGTGCATTGTTGGTTTGTTGTGTTTTTTTTTACAAACGCTTGTTCGTTCTTTCTTTCGTTTGTTCGTTCGTTCGTTCGTTCGTTTGCATGTGTGTTTGTTAGTATGATAAGTTGCATGTTCATTTTGTCAAATTTACATGGTCACCCTTACTTGAAATGCTACCAGGCTGAGATGAAATTTTAAGAAGTGGTCGCTACGTGGAAGGCTGAAAATATAATTTAACTGTGTGTGTGTGTGTGTGCGTGTGCATGTGAGATTTTAAATTGTCTGTACATTATTTACAAATAATTTATTGTATTGTACCAAGCCTTCTAGAAGCGTCACTTTTGAGAGGTTAAGCAAGACTGTCAGCGATGTTCTTAAATATTTCGAATGATGCAAAAGTCGTTTTGAAGTATTTGTTTCAATTTCAATTCAACGTTAATTTTATTTATTTTATTTATATTTAGTTTTTTATTTTGTTATTATTTAATTTAATTTTAATTAAATTTAAATTATATTTTATTTCCTTTGCAATTTTGAAAAAAAAAACTCGATGGCGAACGACGCACATTTGTTTTAATTAGTCTGCAACATTGCTAGGTGATGAATAATGAGATAAGTTTAATGAAGAAAAACCAACACACGCGTATATTTTAAAATCAATTTAGAATAATGTTCATGCATCCCTGCTATCAACTAAGGAATTAGAAAACTACAATAACATTTACTTCTGAATACCAAAATGATGGAGAAAATATTACTCTGACAATTGCTATTAATGCTGATATAACTATAAGAATTTGAAATGTTTCCATAGATTTACACACACATACAAACACATACACGCATACACGCATACATACATTGTTTGCATACAGAATCTAACATTGAAATGAATAAGGAGTGAAACCTATTGTTTGGTTGTTAGTCTATGAACACAAGAAGGTACTATTCAAGCGAATTATAAAGATGATGGCGATGATGATGATGATGATGATTAAGAAGACGGTGGTGATGGTGATGATGTTGCTACATAAGTTGTCGAAGTTGTTGAAATATTTTTATAATTTGCATCACTTTCATTTGTTGTTGAGCAAAATTTCAGGTTGTCACAATCGCTGTCTCTGTTATTATTGCTATTATTATTATCATAGTTATTATTATTATTATTGTTAATGTTGTTGTTGTTGTTGGCAACATAATTTGGCTGTTGTATTAATAATTGATGACGTTGTTGTTGTTGTTGTTGTTGTTGTTGTTGTTGTTGTTGCTGTTGTTGTGGCAGAAAGTGTAGTTGTTGTCGTTGTTGCAGAAAATGCTGTTCAGCATATAACGGTAGTTGATGTTGCTCTATGGATGGTGATGCTAAAAGGACGGTTGCAAATTGTGTTGTGACTGGCTGCATCAACAACACCACAGATTCATTGGCTCTTATAAAAAAACCATTTGCTTGACTGAAGTTATTGTTGTTGTTGATGATGTTGTTGTTGTAATTGATGTTGTTGTTGTTGTTGTTGCTATGAACGGACGGACAGTTTGATAAATATACTGCTTGATTCGTATTTCGATTGATGTTATTGATGTTGTTGTTGGTATTGTTGTTGACGGGAGATGTTTTTCGTCTTTGAAGACAACTCTGAAGTTTTTTAGGACACCAATACCTGTTTAAATGTCATCAACATCAACGACATCATCAGCAGCAGCAGCAACAACAACAACAACAAACCTGTAAACGTGGAAGCAGCATTCGAGACAGGTGCCGACAACACAGCACACGACGGCAACAACAACGAAGCAGCCCAACACGACCATCAACAACTCAACGTACCAACTGCTCTCACTGTGCAGTTTGTAGAAATCTGATAAAGTTGTTGTTGTTTGCTGTTTGTTTTTAAATATTTTTCAAACATTCGTCAAGGTCTCATTTGAATCATATATTCATGTGTGAACGGATGAATGAGTGAACAAACGAACGAATGAACAAACGAACGAATGAACAAACGTAGGAATTAACACACAAATGAACGAATGAATGATGAATAAATTAGATGTTTTGAAAAATTTTCTTTGTTTAATAATGAAAGACAATCGATAAAGAGAAAAAAACACAGAAGACAATTAAAGTGAAAGATGAGGAGTCCGATCATTAACTCAACAAAAATACAGCAAATGTTTATTAAATGTAAAAATACAAATGTTCATATTGGATGTTGTTATGGTTGTTGTATGATATGATATATAATGATACACAATGATATCTAATGATATATTACTAGATTGTATAATTTAGTTACGGAATTTCTGACGATTTTGATATATATTGTATCTTGAATCGACCGAATAGTTAACATTTTGAACCCCGTACCGTACTATAGTTCGATACTTTTAGGAATGAGGGGCTGATATAGAGTGAATTAGGTTGGACTAGACTCATGCAGTGGCGGATCTAAAGAGACCATGGCGGACCATGGTCACCCGTTGTGAGCGATATTTTTATTAAAATTCAGTAAAACTCATCTTTTAGTCAAAAATCGACCAAAAATTGGCGCAATAAACACCAAAAAGATCACTAGCCTAATTTTAGCCATACTAATAGAAATACGGTTTATTTCTTGGCCGTAAAATTTCAAAATTTAAACATTTTTAAAATTTTTGCCTCCCGTCAAATTTGTCCTGATTTGCCCTTGAACGTTTGTGAACCAAATTGAAATAACTTCCCTATATTACAAATACAATACATCGGACATCATAAACTACAAGAACATTGAAAAAGATGACCAACTATAATTACCATATAATTATAATATTATAATGCAAACGTAAGAGGAGGCGCAATGAAGATGGTTCAATAAGAGCAGACTGAGAAGGAGGTTGCCAGGAACATTTCAACACCGTCAAAGAATAATATTACGACTCAAATTTGATCGATTTGAAGATGTTAGTATGGCTGTTGACTGAACAAAAAACTTTCAATAAATAAATAAATATGCATCTTCTGTCTACTGCAAATGGTTACTTTCACCGAAAGAAAAAAATTAAAAAGGAACGAGGAATCATAAATTTGCCTTGCTGTACGTACGTAAGTTGGTTGGTTGGTTTGTTTGATTGTTTGTTAGTTTGTGTGTGTTTGTGTGTGTGTGTGTGTGTGTGTGTGTGTGTGTGTGTGTGTGTGTGTGTGTGTGTGTGTGTGTGTGTGTGTACGTATGTACGAACGTTGATGTAAAAATATTTTGTTTATTTCTGCATATGCTCTCCTATCAACTCTGCTACCTATTCTATCAATTTTAGTTGACGAATCAATATCCAAACACGTGTATGTAAGTGCATTCAACTCTTTATATGTTTATATATATATATATATTAGTGTGTATATACATATATAATATATATCATAAACTGCTATATATTATATGCTATATTGAATTGTATTATTGTAAGTATTTTTATAGCGCTTTAGAGCTTCCCAAAATCGAGATACATGCGCACATACATCGTCAACCGTACGCCACTAAAATATTACGTACACGCAGTGCTTTCCTAACCAGGTTTTCATGGAACATACGTTCGTTTGTTTGTTTGTTTGACAGATTGCTTGCTTGCTTGTTTGTTTTTCGTTATTATTGTTGCTATTATTAAATGATTACAAATAATTAACAAACGAACGAACGAACGAATGAAAAAACGAACGAACGAACCGTAACATCTCGCATGCACCAAGCTTTCATCACTTCCATCTCCACAGTGTTCAACCCCGTCACACACCAAACTCATGTTGATGCATCTGTTTGTTGACGAACATTTGAAAAAGTTTTTTATGTTGTCGTTGGAGTTGAGAATGTTGTTGCTGCTGCTTGTTTGGTTGTCGCCGTACAGCGCGCTTGAATAGAAACAAAACACGTTATCATGTAGGAATATTTTCTCTTGAACAACATCGTCGTTATCACGCTCGTTTATAGTTTTGGAAGACATTTTATCCCAGCCTCTTTATATTTTCAATGTTTTTGTTTTGTTGTTGTCATTAAGGTTTATGTCATCGCCGAACTTGATAATGTCATTGATGTTGTTGATGTTGATGTTAATAAACCTTTGAAAAAATCGAAGGTTTGGAAGCAGTGTATTTATAAAAAAGGAACGTTTCACTGTGGAAAACGTAGAACAAGCAAACATGAAAAAATCATTCACCATTTTTGTGTTCTAAAAACGCTACGACAAATAACAATACAAAATTATGAAAAATATCGCACTAAAATCCCAAGTAAAATTAAAAATATGAACAAAAATACCTGCCATCTGATTGCTTCTTGCTGCCTGGTTGGCTGGCTGATCGGCTGGCTGGTTGGTTGGTTGGTCATATTCTGCTCAGTCAAAAAACAAAAATATTGTAGAAGAAATACTGAACCCACTCAACCAAGCGTCCTCATTGTCTTCATGAAATTTTGTGCGGCAACATCGAAAGTATGAATGAAGAGTGAACGATGCATGCTTATGTTCCAGATATATACGTATATTTATATATGTATGTATGTATGCACATATATAATATATATATATATGTGTGTGTGTGTGTGTGTGTTTGTATAACACGTGCTGATGTGTGTGATGAGCAGTTATTGAATGACGTAGCTCTGACGTCACAAGCTGAACAGCTGTCTTCGTTGGTGGATATTTTTAGCTGATCGGCTAATTGTTTGTTGAATAGTTAGCTAAGATTGATAGGCATTGGAGGGGTATGTTGGGGCTATTACTACCCCATAAAAAATTTTTATAGCCATTGCAAATTCCCATGAAGGAATTTTCTTATATAAAAGCTGTTTTCACGTTGAAATAAAAATGTTGAGAAGAATAATGCAGATGTTGTTGGTCGGTCGGTTCTTTGCAGATGGGTCAATGAGATCTCTACTTTGGGAAAAGTTATACAGAGTTATATAGGGTAATATATAGTTATATAGGGTTATATAAAGTTATGTATATATATATATAGTTATAAAGATTTATATATAGTTAAATAAGGTTATATAGAGAACCATGGGATTTCCGCAATACCCGTTCCCGTGCTCACTTCTAGTCTTGAGATCCGCTCTGAACATCGTAAGTGATTCAGAAGTAGTCAGAAAAGGAGGTAGAGAGTTCCAGAGAAAAGGGCAAGAAAAAGCAAATGCACATTTAGACAAAGAGAAGTCATAAAGTTAACAAGAAGTGAAAACAAGAAGCGATCGTAAACTGGGGCGTTTAGGTCCAATTAATATATTTGTTAAGCCTCCAGGAAAGAATTTAGATTGAAACTTTTGAAAGTGCAAATTTTAAAAATTATTCCATATTTCATAGGCAGCCAGAGCAAGAGAAAAAGATATGGAGATATGTGAGAAAAAAGTGGCACGAGGAACTAGATGAGCAGCAGAGTTAAAAGCTTTACTTAAAGTATAGACTGTTACATAGAGTTATATAGGTTTGTATAGAGTTATATATATTATATTTTATATTTTTTTATATTTATATTAAATTTATAATTATATATATTTCATCAGCATCATCATCATATAAAAATAAAATTGTATAGAATTATATAGGGTTATATAGAGTCCTATAGATTTATATAAGGTTATATAGGGTTATATAGAGTTGATTGCTAAGGTTCAATTACTTTATCTATCACTTGCAAAATTCAAAGCGGATTTTAAGGCACATCCGTTTGTAGAATTCACTGAGGAACGCTATTGACCATCGCGGAAATAGCGCTTTACAATTTATTAGATTGATTGATTGATTCTTGTGTACTTTTGTGATGTAAGCATCCACTTGTAAGCAGAGCAATTATACAACTTCTGGGAGGCGGGCAGCGTGAAGGATCTTTCGGGGATGTTATATAAAATTCAGTCAGCAGATAGCAGCACAACACATGAAACACTAGTCTGCATTTAAAATACAATACCTCGTCAAATACAAAACGTCAAAAACACTTCAAAGAGAGCGAACTCGTGTTTATATGACCCCATTTCGATTTATTGACTGGTGTGCACTGAAAATCGGGTTTTTTATTAAAATCTATTTACTACCGTTATAATATTATTATTACAATTATTAATTTTAATTATAACCATTTGTCAAAAACTGAAACATTTGAAACTTTATTGAACCGAACGAAAACCCAAAAATTGAAAAAGGGATCTAGTCTAACAATTAAGGAATAAATTAATGTTTAATCAATCGATCACTCAATCAATCATTCAATCAATTACTCAATCAATCTTTCAATCAATAACTTAATCAATCAACCAATCGATCAATCAACTAATCAATCAATTTACAAATAATACTCATTGAAGTGAAAGATGAAGATAATATATGCACGACAAACATCATTACAACTAGTTCCTCATCCAAACATACACCAAATCATTGAAATCATTGGTGCTACTTATTGGGAATAAAACCTTCCCCTTCTACAAACACCTTCGTCTCATTCTTCCTCTTCTCTCTCTTTCTCTCTCTTTCTCTCTATCTCTCTCTCGCTTTCTCAATTCACATATAGTGTATGTATGCACATTATATATATATATATACATATATATATATATATATATATATATACATACATACATATAGTAAAATTAAATAGTAATATGCCCTTTAAATAAGCTGATGGCTAGAATGGGTAGTAAAAATATTTTTTAGGATGAATAAAATTCAAATCAAAACGTAATGACGGAAGGAAAGATGGATAATAAACATTTCTGCGAAGTATAAATAAGGTAAAAATTAAATGAATGAATGAATGAATGAATGAATGAATGAATGAATGAATGAATGAATGAATGAATGAATGAATGAATGAATGAATGAATGAATGAATTAAAAAAATAAATAAATTTGCTATGTACAATTCGAAATCGTTAAATTGTCTTTAAAATAATTTAAAATGAAACTGGAAGAAAATCAAAAAAGGATATCTGCAAAATTTAAATACACAACAACAACACAACTTCAACAACATCAACAACTACATTCTCATCAACAAAACCATCTTTTTGTAAATTTTGGAGATGATTTAGTAGTTGATTCACTATTTAATACCAGAAAGTCTAAAATTTTGAAAATTTGAAACCCTAATCCGTCTATACAACAATCTCTTGTTCAAATTCAGATGTCTCAACACCTATGATGGCTAAATTAAATTTCCAGCTTATAATAATCAACAAATTTTGTTCTGAAATCCAAAAATTTGATGGCTTAAACCGAAATTGCAGTATTTGGCAATTCGGTTTTTAACTTTACGTAACTAACTAGGCAGACCATTCGTTGCGTCTCAAACTACATGCATGCAAGCTAACAATTAATTAATTTATTGAATTATTACCGAATTGTAACGTATCTTATCGTGTTAACAAGTTCAAAAATACGTTAATAACATACGTGCATATGCTTGTGTGTTGTGTGTGTGATGTTTATTTGCAAGAGTGCAATCGAGTATAACCTCTCATCTACTTATAAACAAATAAGTGTTCGTTCGTTCGTTTGTTCGTTTGTTTGTTTGTTTATATTTTCATGCGTTTGTATGGCCGTTCATATCAATATGAAAGCACGTTCAACAATTAATTAACTAATTGTTGTTGTTGTTGATGTTGCTGATGTTGTTGCTGGGGATGATGATGATAATGATGATGATAAAAAATATGATGATGATGATGATGACGATAATAAGGTTGTTGTTGATGATGATGAAGTTGGAAGATGAACTTTAGAAGAGGTCAAACAGTCGGAAAGCCTCCGCGCTTTCACCGATTCTGTAACCAATTCCAAGGGGCTGTCATCTAATGTTTTATCAGTGTTGCTGTTGATGCTGTCGATGTTGTTGCTGTTGTTGTTGTTGTTGCTGTTGTTGTTGCTGTTGTTGTTGCTGTTGTTGTTGCTGTTGATGTTGTCGATGTTGTTGTTGCTGTTGATGTTGTCGATGTTGTTGCTGTTGTTGTTGTTGCTGCTGTTGTTGTTGTTGCTGCTGCTTCGAACCGTTAACTCAATTGGTTGGTTGTAGGATTCGCTGGTGGTTGAGATGACTGCTGTGTTTGAGTTTGTGGTGCAATTTGATGCAAGTTCGGAAGCTGTTCGAGCTGTTGTTGTTGATGAAATTGACGTTGTTGTTGTAATTTGTGTTGTTGTTGTTAATTTTGAAATGTCTAAGCCTTTAAAATGTACGGTCGGTATGTTCAACATCATCACATTTACATTATTAACTGGAAGTAATGTTGCTGGATCTGATAACGATGTTGCTGTTCTTGTTGTCGATAATGTTGAAATTGCTGATGATATTGATAAAAATGTTGTTGTTGTTGTGGCTGACGATGATGTTGAAGATGATGTTGATGTTGTTGTTGATGATGATAATGGTGATGAAGATGATGTTGATGATGATGATGATGATGGTGGTGGTGATGAGAAGTATGACGATGACGATGACAATCCAATGAAATATAATTTATCTTTGGTTATCCTGTCCAGATGTTGATGTAGATTTTCAACTTTCTTCTTAGTTGACAACATTTTCTGACTGATGTTGTAGTTGCTGTTGTTGTTGTTGTTAATAATGATGTTGTTGCTTAAACTGGTGTTGATGTTGTTACTGATATTGTGTGAACTGTTGCTAGCTGCAGTTGGAAGGATTCTAATGGAGGTTTGCAATGTTTGCCCTGTGGCGGACTGAACGAGGGATGTTGATGTTGTAGTTGGTGTTGCAGTTGATGTTGTAGTTGATGTTGTGGTTGATGTTGTGGATGAGGATGTTGATGTTGCGATTGCTGATGTCCTTGCCGTTACAGTTAATTTAGTTGGCAATGTAGAGGATGTTGATGTTGTCAGTCTGGAAGATGGTGACGTTGTTGTTATCATGGCAGGCGATGATGTTGTTGATCTTGATGCAGTAGTTGCGAATAACTCCTCGCCGAGCGATCTGTAGGTTGTCACTCCGTTGCAAGTCAACTTCAATCTCTTGGCACCCATCTGATGTGCTGTCATCGCTGGTGACGTCACTGACGAAGATGATGACGTCATTAATGACGATGAAGATGGCGATAGCGATGGGTAAGACAAGGAAGACGTATTCGATTCATTTCCGATTGGATGACTGTTGAGTATCCTTTTATTTGCTTGCCTGTAGATTATATTTGTCAAGGCCTTGTTGATGTTGTTGATGTTGTTGTTGAAGATGATGTTGTTTCGCATTGGAGTTTCGGCTTTTCGAGTTTTTGCAGTGCTTAAAACAAGCGAAGTACATTTTGCTGGGTGCGATGGAATGCAATATTTGTGTGCGTCTTTGTTGGCGTTATTTAGGTAGTTGTTGTTGTTTTTATTGTTGTTGTCGTTGTTAACATTAGCCATATGTTTAAAATTCTTGTGAGTTGAGTGATAGGATGGAACTTTGAGCGGTTGTGATTTTATATTCCTGGCTCGTTGTTGTTGTTCAGCTTGTTGCTGTGTTGATGCGTGTGCTAATGTGGAGTTTGTGGCAATGAAGTGTTGAACATTTTGTTGCAAATGTTTGATGTGTTGCTGCAATAATTGTTGCTGTTGTTGTTGTTGCTGTTGTTGTTGTCGATGAACAGGTTTTTGCAGTTGTTGACGATACTGTTGATGTTGCAACTGCTGACGATGTCGTTGTTGACGATGTTGTTGTTGTGACTGTTTCAAAATGTCTCCGGTTTGAAATGATTCCTTCTCTTCAACGAGTTTCCTCTTCTTCGCTTGCAGAACTTCATGAGTGAATTCTTTGTACCTCTCCTCACAACTCAGCAGGCTGTAACTTAATTTGTTGTTTATGTTGTTGTTGTTGTTTATGTTGTTGTTGTTGTTTATGTTGTTGTTGTTATTCTCCATGTTGTTGCTATTGTTTTTAAATGTAACGCAAGAAGCATTGAAATTCGGTGTGGTCGCACACGAAGGGCAAGACAAAGAAGATGACGATGATGATGAAGATGATGATAATGATGAAGATGAAGATGATGATGAAGATGATGAAGATGATGAAGATGATGATGAAGTTGCTGACGATGGTATTCCTATTCGAATTTTCAATTCTGGTTTGTTGCTGGGAATACCACAAATTAAATATTTATTTGCAATGACGTTGTTGCAGCTGCTGCTCAGTCGTCTTCTTTTTATTGCGTCACCCTCGAAACAAGTATTGTCAACAGCGACGTTTGATGTTGTAGTAGTTGTCGTTGTTGCTGATGATGATGTTGTAGTAGTAGTTGTTGTTGCTGATGATGATGTTGTAGTAGTTGTTGTTGTTGCTGATGATGATGTTGTAGTAGTTGTTGTTGTTGCTGATGATGATGTTGTAGTAGTAGTTGTTGTTGCTGATGTTGTTGTTGATGGTGATAACGACGACGATGATAATGATGATGATGGCTGATATCTTGAACGAGATATGGTACTAAAAAATTTTCGATCTTTCAACCTGACGTCGTTCATCGCGTTGTTGTTGCTACTGATGTTACTGATGTTGTTGGTGTTGTTGCTAACAATGTTGTTGATGTTGTTGTTGTTATTATTATTATTGATGTTGTTGAAGTTGTTGTCGTTGATGTCAGGCAGTTCCGCTAACAGATAAGCTTCATTTATTTGAAAATTGGTTTTAGTATTTTTCTTGAATCTTATTCCATCTTCGTCATCATCGACTTCATCACAATCATCGTCATCGTCGTCGTCGTCATCAATCGGTGTTTGTGTTTCAACAGATGTTTGTAGTTTGGTAGGTTTGTTTCCAGCAAATCTATCGACACCTCCATCATCGTCATCATTGTTATCATCATCGCCATCATCATCACCAGTTGTTTGCGAAGTTGTACTGGAAGATACAACATTTTCATTGTTCAGGCTGTTGTTGTTTTTGATGTTTTTGTTGTTGGACAACATTTTGATGTCGTTGTTGTCGTTTTGGTTGACAGTTCGAAGTTTTTCATCGCACCGAGGTTTCGGACTGATCGTTGACGAGTCTACCTCAGTTTCAGAACAACTTGCTGCTGCTGCTGCTGATGTTGACGATGTTCTTTCTGTTATTGTTTTCAACAAGGTGTGTTGTTTTTGTCTGAAACCGACTGAAATCTCGCTGCTGTTGTTGTTGTTTGTTGTTGCGCCGACGGATGGAGCAGAGATTGTGTTCTCCAGACTCTTGTCGGCGCACTTTTTCAAATTGCGGACGCTGATGTCGTTGCTGATGTTGTCCAAATTGCTGGTCAGATGTTGGTCCGCTAGATACGATGTTGATTCTTCTAGATCGCTCTGGAAGTTGTAAATTTCTTTCTCTGCAGTTACTAGTGTCTTAATGGCCCATCTATTTTGGTGTTTGTCTTGTTGTTGCTGCTGTTGTTCACGATGTTGCTGTTGTTGTTGCTGCTTCTGAGATTTTTTTTCTTTTCGTTTACACTTTCGTTTCTTGGAGCCGACTGAGTTTCTCCTATTGAATCGTTTCTGACGAACTTGAGCAATTGATGGCTTCAAAGTTGTGTTATTGATGTTGTTGATTTTGTTGATGTTGTTGTCATTATTACTGTCAGGAATGTTGATGATTCTGCTATGCCTGACATCGGCAGGTAGAGTTGGTGTCCTGTTGAATGAGATTGCCGTGTTCGGAGCCTCTGAACGGTTGACTTGATCGAATGGTAAGTCGGAAATCTTTGACGTTGTTGATGTTGTTGTTGATGACGATGATAATGTTGATGATGATGATGTTGTTGTTGATGATGATGTTGTTGTTGATGACGATGATGTTGTTGTTGCTGTTGACGGCGATAACAATTCATGTGACAGTATTTTTGTGTTGGTGAACTTTGCCCTTTTATTAATCAGTTTTTTACTCATTGAAACAGAATCGTTGTTGTTGTTGTTGTTGTTGTTGTTGTTGTCATCGTGAGAAGTTTCAGATGATTTTATTTGTGATTTGTTGTCGGGAATGATTTTGTACTGGAGCACCATCGGTGAGGTCTGAATTGAATATTATGAGTTGAACGTAGGTTGTTGCTGATCTGATGTTGATAAAGTTGATGATGATGGTGATGATGATGATGATGATGGTGATGAAGTTGATGATGATGATGGTGATGGTGATGATGATACTAACATTGGTCCAAGTGGTAATGTATGCAACGTCCAAAAGTTTGAAGTCTTCATTCAATTTTTCATTGCCATAGAGCAGCTCAACCTGATGACGATGAGGTTGTAACGATGATGATGATGATGATGATGACGATGACGATGATGATGTTCTCAAAGAAATGATGGTGATGATGAAATTTTAAAGGACGACGGCGATAAGAGTGATAAACATTAGAAACGGATTGTGAATTTTTATTTATCACCAACATCAACATCCTCACCAACATCACACCATCACCATCATCTTCGTGTCACGATCTTATTCGTCATAAAATTCAACTCACGTCATACGTGACGTCATCATCATCATCGTCATCATCGCCGTGATAACTGTTGCCACGACAACCACTTGTCATCATCATCATCTCCATTTTGTTCATGATCAGTTTCTTGAGTAGATGTATAGTCACCGACGACGAGCAGCGAATGTACGACGTGTTGGTCTGCTGCTGCTGCTGTTGCAGCGGCTGTTGCTGCTGCTGCTGATGATTATTCTGGTTTTTGCCGCCGCTGACATTTTGGACTTGTAAGAAGTTCTTGCTCTGGAAATATAAGGAGATATTTTTTTTTAACTGATGACGACGATGACAATGTTGATGATGATACAACGCAATGAAACAAAACCCCCACACCCAGTGACGTCACTAACGTTCAAATCCGTGTCGCCACTTTCTTTCGACCTGTCATGTTGGTGGTTAAATAATATTTCAACGTCAAAAAGCAATAATAATAAAAATTATTATCATTATTATTATTTATTATTATTAAATTATGATTAAAACAAGTATAGATGACCTTGTGGCATACTGCAGTGCGACGCTGAACGTCTCGTCGCCACTGTATATGCAGTGGTCCGAGGTCAACTCCTCTATATCACGCACCGCATCTGCCAGGTCCTGGGGGTCTGCTAATTAATAATTATAATAATAATAATAATAATGATGATGATGAAGATGACAGTTACGAGCTGATGATGATGGCGACGAGACAAGAAATCTGATAAACATACCGGACTCCATTTTGTTGGCGAATGCACATCTCCTCATCACTTCATCTGTTTGCCATCATTATCAAAATTATTATTATCATCATCATCATTATCATCGCCATCATCATCACCATCTTGACTTACTCTGGTACAAGCCGGGAACAATTTTGTAAACCAGCGCTTGCAAGGTCTTGTCCGCTCTATTTGTTCGTAAGTGATTGAAGAATTAATGAGATGATGACGAAGATGACGATGATGATGACGATGATGATGATGATGACAATGCTGATAATGATTCTGCGGTGCCTGACAAAATTGATGATGAAAGTAAGCAGGTAGCAGAGAATAAGAAAGTAGCATCACATCAAACGGCTTCACGCCACACCAAGCCACACCAAGTCACGCCACCACGCCACACTAGATGACGTCACATACTTGATGCCCATGGTTGGATCAGCGGGGTGCACGGAGGCATCGCAAACAGGGCAGGTGTCGCTGGACTCCAGGTACCTCAAAATGCAACTACGACAAACTGTTTGTGTGAGTTTGTGTGTTTGATGGCATGTTTGTGGTTGTGGCTGTGTTTGTTTGATTGAATATCTTTAAATCTACTGATTATTTTTTAAACATAAGTTGTTGATCAATGAAGAGGTCGACCATTCGATCTCTTCATCCATTAGTTCGTTTGTTCATTCAATTAATTAATTAATTGATTAATTGATTAATTAACAAGTTTTTTAATTGCCCAATCAATTAAACAACTCCTATTAATTCATCATGATATTTTAAAAGCGCTATTAACGTAGCACTCGATATTTCTTTGCCCAAAAAAAATGACGATGATGATATAAGATGATTACAGTCATCATCATCATCGTCGTCGTCATCATCAACAACAACAACAAACAACATCACCATAATCATCTCTATCAGCAAATAACATTATCACCATCATCATCAACTGCTTAAGTGATGAAGCAGAGATGAATGTTGATGGCAAAATGTGACAGGAAGAAAACATACATTTGAACATATAAACAAACAAATTTAAATACATAGATACATACATAGATACAAAGATACATATCTACATGCCTAAATATCCACACACATACAACCGAACGAACAAATGCAATTTCATTCACCTTTAAATTTTACTTACATGCAATTTAGTTTATTATAACATAAGAAGGCAAGATGGCCTTAAAAAGTTTACTAAGAAGTTAAGCCAGGTGGCGCATCTTACACAAATTTGAGGGTAGTCTTTCAGTTTTCAAACAAAATTTGTGTAAATTTTTGATGAACAATCCATGAGAAGCATGTTAGCTGTTGGCCTCAAACAAAGTTATATATAAACAAACATGCAAACATACACACAAGCAAACATACATACATGCAAACATACATACATACTTATACATCCCTAAAAACAAACATACGTACGTACGAACACACACATATATATACAAGCAAACAAAAACAAACATAGAATATGTATGATGCAAATGCAAACCACACATCAGCATTCCGTACAATCTTGTTGCATAGCTATGTTGTAGATGCACCAAACAAACATACATACATAGATACATTGATGCAAAGATATATAGATATATTGAAAAATACATAAATATTCAAATACTTACAAAGAATCAATATATATATATATATATATATTAATAAAATGTTTTAATAATAATATATAGATATAATTACTATAGAATTTTCACTAAAATTTCATTAAAATTTTCATGAAAATTCTATTGCTATATATCATTTATTAATTTAAATTAAAATTTATATTTTTTTTCTAATAATAGAATAGATAGAATTTAATGAATATATATAAATATATATAAATATAAATATATATATATATATATATATATATATATATATATATATATATATATATATATATATGTACAAACATACATACAATACAAATGTGTGTGCATGCATACGTACATACAACCATCTGTACATACAAACGTGCACAGCTGCAAACCTCAGCGTGCGTACATCAGCTAGCAGCAGCAACCGGAAAAAATAGGAAAACATCACGTGATACACATATTACGTCATTTATGTATATGTGCGTGTGCACGTACGTATATATGTGCACGTGTATGTATGTATGCATGTATGTATGGATGGATGGATGGATGGATGGATGGATGGATGTATGTGTGTGTGTTTGTGTATGTATGTATGTACGTACGCATATATATATGGATGGATGGATGGATGGATGGATGTATGTGTGTGTGTGTTTGTTTATGTATGTATGTACGTACGCATGCATATATGTAGTTTGTAATCAGTTGCATAGTTATTGCACTTTTATAAAATTTTGCAAATGTAGCATTATCGATGAAATTGTAAGGAAAACATTTGTGCACAAATATTTGGTTATGTCAGGGGTGGGCGAACGTTTCGCTGCTAGGGCCGCATTGAGAACTATTTTATCTTTGAAGGGCCGCTTATGCCCTTAAATAGCAAAGATTTTAGACTCAGGAGAAAATTATTTTAAGGTTTGTGGCCCCTTTTTTTGGTCATAATATCTGACTGACGACCTTCGGCGAAGAAATCGTTGCGGGCCGCATAAAATAGCTTCGCGGGCCGTAGTTTGCCCACCCTTGGGTTATGTAGGGTTAGGTACGTTCACACACACGCCTGTATGAATATATCTGGAAGGATTGTTTGGAAGAAGTTGTCTGCTAAGGTAGGTAGATAGGAAGATAGGTATGTAGAACAACTTCGACTGGAATTAAAAGCGAGTCCAAACAGCTATGACAGGAGAAAACTGGAAGGCTTCAGTGAGGTGGCTTCTCAATCAGTGGGCGATCTTTTCTGCTTGTCGCACGTTTTTGGGTTAATATTTCCAATATGAAACAATGTTTTGCACTTAAAAACGGAGTTTCAAGTATAAAAAAATTAAACAGTGTACGTTGGCTAAATTACAACAATATGCCTGTTGGCTGCAAGCATTTAGATTGCTGGTGAAATTGCCATTAAAATATTTTACATACAATTTCCACGACCATTAAAAATAATTATAGTGCTTTTAAAAGCGTTCATTTGCAGGAGCCAGCGTCATTTTCAAACCTTCCGGGATTGGAACATCGTCAGAACGCACAAAGACAGAAACGTCATTCCAGTTGTTTCGGTCAGCAACTCACTCAGATATCGTACTACTTGTGATCAAGTTTAAACCTTTTCCGCAACGAAATGCTATTTAAACGACTGTTTGCAATTTTGAAGGACCATCATTTCGCATTATCAAACAATTTGTGCGCGCAAACAGCATGCCACTGCTCGGCCCCTATCTGCCATTCATCCATCCATCCAATCATCCTTCCATCCATCCATCCAATCATCCTTCCATCCATCCGTCCATCACACAACCACTTGCACCCTGGTTTGGTACATACATACATAACAAATCAATCGGTCAGATCACCATACCCCACAGTTTGTTTAGTAAAGCGACAATGATGATGATGATGTAAGTGATGATAGTAGTTATGATAAAAGTCATGATGGCGATGATGAGACCATGCAGTTCAAGTTAAACTACTTCAGCGGTAATCAAGGCGATTGAGAATGATGAGAAGATGTTGAGAATGATGAGAAGATGTTGAGAATGATGAGAAGATGTTGAGAATGATGAGAAGATGTTGAGAATGATGAGAAGATGTTGAGAATGATGAGAAGATGTTGAGAATGATGAGAAGATGTTGAGAATGATGAGAAGATGTTGAGAATGATGAGAAGATGTTGAGAATGATGAGAAGATGTTGAGAATGATGAGAAGATGTTGAGAATGATGAGAAGATGTTGTATGAGTATGAACGTCAATGTTAAAAAATATAAAAATTAAGTAAAAAGATGATGACAATAACTGCAGGAAACATCAATCAAGAGATTCAAACGACATCAATAAAAATGTAGACCAACAGGTATGGAGACACTCGATGATGGTGGTTGCGTCAACTAGGTAGCCGCTGCACAACACGCAACATAGGTTTGCGTTCACATCTCTCAGCAAACATTGTTGTTGATGTTTATGTTGTTGTTGATGTAATTGTTGAAAATTGGCTTTCACTTTGTTGTTGCTTCCAATAAAATCATTTTCAACAACTTTTTCCAACTTTGGCGGCCCATCTGAATCATGTTCCTGCCTCTCTCTCCTGCTTCTCATCATCTCTCTTTCGGTGACATCATCATCGTCGTCATCATCATCATCATCGTTGTCGTCATCATCATCATCATCGTCATCATCATACTTCATTTCAACGACGTCACAGAATCCATGGTAAAATTGTTTCTTCACATTTTTGTCAATAAAACTGGAGTTATTGTTATTTTGGTCATTATTATTATTATGTTTATTATTATTATTGTTTTTGTTGTTGTTGTGATTGCTGTTGTCGTTGCAATTTGTCGACAGTTTTGAAGCTGGCTTTGTTGTCCTCGCTTCGTACGATGTCGAATAACTCCACAAAGATACTTTCGAAGGTGATGAAGACGACGATAAGGATGACGATGTTGTTGTCGTCGGTGATGATAATGATGATTTAGATCTTGATGATGATGTTGTTATTGTTGTTGTTGGTGGTGACGATGATGGTTTTATAAAGTGACTCATATCAGAATGTTTTAAAACGAATTGAACAGTTACTGTTAACGATTTTGTTGATGATGATGTTGTTGTTGCTGTTGTTGTTGCTGTTGTTGTTGTTGTTGCTAATGTTGCAAACGTTTTTAACCTCCTAACCTTTATGCAAGTATTTCAAACAATAATAATAATAACCATTATTGATATCATTGTTATTATCATCGTTATCAATGTAATTTTTATTAACAGAAGAAATTGATAAGACGTTGATATAGTAAGTCAAACAACACGTCATCGTCAGTAGCAGCAACACACACACACGCGCACACACACACACGCACACACACAACAAACCAGAGAAGATTGATTGATAATATTGATCACGTGATTAATTCATCAATGTAAACAACAACTTAGAAACAACTCACCACATAAACATGTGTGCACATTTTTTCGTATGCTAAGTGACACCGGCAAACAACCAATCAAATCGCTTGAAATTAGAACTATTGTGTGCACGCGCTCTCTCATTGGCCGAGCAAACATCGAAGGAGGAGTTAGTTTAATTAGGCCGCGTACAAGTGCATGATGAGGTTTTATTTTAACTCTGAAACTGAGCCAGACCGACACATGTGCGTTCGGAAGCTGCGGCGATTAAAGTGACTGCAGATGCATGAGCGAGTTGGAATGCAGTGATCCCAGTTCATCGCATGCATGCATGGATGTGTGTAGATACATAGATAGTTTGTTTTTGATACATCAGAGAAATGCTGGAGAATGAAGTGAAATAATATATGATCAAAATAAAATTTTTAATAGTGTGTACATTTGTTCGTTTGTTTGTTTTTCTGTTAGTCTGTCTGTGTGCT